GCTTCGCTTCGCTTCGCTTCGCTTCGCTTTCTTTTTTTGCAAATTCAACACTCATCTTTGTGAACAAATCACAACAATGCTTAAATGGTTCAAGATGCTGCTTGGTTGTGGATTTCGTGTATGTGTATATCATTCATTTCTTTATAGGATCCTCCTCTACCTGTCTTCTGTGTAACACAACTGCAACTCAGACCCACACATTGTCAAGTGCATCCATTTCCAGTCCCCTGTATTGTTAATATGGCATTTTGTGGGAGGTGGATCTTTCTGCAGACATACCTAAGCAGTCTAGGAGAAGCTGTACTGCCACATTCTTTTGGGTGACATAGCTTTCTCCAGACCCATGATAGGAATGAGCAAGAGTTTTGAAAAGTGAAGTTGTTATGTGGCTTCTGCTGTTGATATTGATGAAATCAATGAAAAAGATTTTCCATTTAGAAGAGAGCCCTCCATGGTTGCTTTGCAGTGAAGAACATTAATAGCTACCAGGGTTCCCTTCCGCTGTTTTAGTCCAGTTGATATGCTGGAATCATCTAAAAGTACCTCCACCACCCCAGGAAGTCCTAAAATGTTCTACTTGGAAATGCTCTGCATCCCAGTGCCTCCCTGCTTCCAAATCAACAGTTCTTGAAATTGCATCCAAGCACAAAAGAAGGCACTTCACACAGTACACTTGATTGACAAGCCTGACCAGTTGATTGCTCCTTCAGAGCCTCTGTGATGCACTTCTGCTGAAAAAATATTTATTTACACTATTTTTAATACATGTACAAATGTATATGAGCACCAGCATCTTTCAGTGTTAAATCAAAAGGAACATGCCAGGCTGGGCTAAGTTCACATGAAATACTGTTTTCCAAACATTTATCAGGATTCAACAGCCTGGTGGCTTTTTTGAAACTCCAAAATAGTTTCATTCGTATTCGCCATCTACTTTCCCCAGATCCTAGATCAGTGTTTCTCAACTTTGGCAACTTTAAGAGGTGTGGACTTCAACTCCCAGAATCCCCCAGCCAGCATGCTGGCTGGGAGGATTCTGGGAATTGAAATCCACACCTCTTAAAGTTGCTACGGTTGAGAAACATTGGTTAGGGTTGCCTTTCTTCCTTCATGGGGAATGGTGAGTTTGGTACTTTCTTACTATGCTTCACCATCTACTTTCCCCAGATCCTAGATCAGTGTTTCTCAACTTTGGCAACTTTAAGAGGTGTGGACTTCAACTCCCAGAATCCCCCAGCCAGCATGCTGGCTGGGAGGATTCTGGGAATTGAAATCCACACCTCTTAAAGTTGCTACAGTTGAGAAACATTGGTTAGGGTTGCCTTTCTTCCTTCATGGGGAATGGTGAGTTTGGTACTTTCTTACTATGCTGGTTTAAAATAGTATCAATTTTAAACCAGCAATTTAAAACTGTCCAATTTCATCCTCTTTTGGACATTTTGGGACACCATGGTTGTCCAAGACAGACCAGTGTCCTTTTTTAATAGGAGATGGGGAATTTGCAACACTAAACCTTTGTGCATGCCATTTCTCCAAGGTTAATTGTGCTTCTTCCAGCAACCCTGATTCTAGTTATGTATACAAAAAACAAACAAACACAAAACACAGATGGAGACAAACATTGAGCCTCTGAATCACACCAAGTCCTTAACTATTTTCAAGTTACATGTTACATGATATCTGTACTGAACCTTGGTATGGATGTTAGGGAAGGTCCCAGGATAGAGCTAGGTGAGTAGTCAGTTGGCCATTGCTTGAGTGGGGAGCCCTACATCAGTTGATGAACAGCCTTTCTAATTCCTCCCCTTTTCTCCCAGACGTTCAGAAGTGAAAGAGCTTTCACCTGTTTGGGCCTCCACATCTGGCTACATGAAAGGCATAAGAGCACCACTCAACAGTGCAGTCAAGCCCTGAAGAGCATTAAGGCCATTACCTATCATGAATGTCAGTCCTGCTTTGACCTATAAAAGTTGAATCCTGAGCTGATTAGGGTCCATGATCTATGCATGCAACACTGTGAAAAGCTTCAATGTTTCTTTTGCAGTTTGTTCCAGATGGTTTCCCATCATATTCTTCAGAACGTCGGCATCATCCTGCCAATACTGGATTCAGTATTTGCAGTGTCACAATAAGCATTTCCCCCTTTGTCTGGCCTCAAGACAGTGAAGATAGCAAACCATCAAGGAGGGTCATTCCAGAGCAGGACTTAGCTGCCTTAAATAGCAGCAGCAATCCAATCTGAGCAGTTCCAAGGCCCATCTGGCAACTTCTGCACATTCTTGCAATGACATACAAGATTCCACCTTATTTCATTCACTGAGTGCAGCAGAGGGCTGGATGGTCCAGTTTCCACAGTTGCCATTTCTTCTTTATTTCAGATTTCACCTGGAACAAGAACGTTTGGTATTTAATGTTTCTGTCTGGATCCCACAGCATTTATACCTCTGCCTACGCAGGAATAGGGGAGATCTTGGTGATCAAAACACACAGGGGATTAACTGGCGATTCCGGAATCCAAGAGTGGCTGAAAAGATGGATGCATTTTTTAAAATCACTACATTTACATCCTGCCTTTCCTCTGAGCACAGTGTTATACATGTGGTGGTGGAGATGTCTCCATTTTATTGCACAGGAACCAATTTGCGAGGCAGGATGGGCTGTGAGAATGACAGGTCCAAAGTTGTCACCCGCTTGTTTGAGTGGGGACCTGAACCTGGGTCTCTCACCACCTGAACCATAATGTTCTCTGAAAACTAAATCTGAAAAGATGTAAGTTTTCATTAATATCTAGGCTTCATCTTGTAAGCTTACAGTAACTCTTTAAGGTCAGTTCTAGACATAGATTCCCTCCCCCCACTTTTTTTTTTTTTAACATGGCCAGTTAAGATGATTAGTGCTCAGTTTAGACTGTCTTTGGTGGTGCCTTTTCTATCTAAAGGTGGAGATGGCCTGGTGGGGCCCTCTGCAGCTGCTCAGAATTAGTGGCAGGGTCAAGGGGGAATACTTACTTCTTTATTGGCAAAGCAGTAGAGTACAGCAACCAGGAATCCCTATAGTAGATAAAGCAGCATGAGCTTACAATAACTTTTAGAGATCTATTAAGTCACAACTGTCACGATACCCAAAATTGTGGTGGTTGGGCACTGGATCTGGACTAAGATAGCTATGATCAGAAGCATGTATGATCTGGAATCAATTGCATAACCCAAATCCTGCATTACGAAAATTAAATTTTTGGTGTCAGTTGTGGTAATGGTGGTCCCTTCCAACTCTACAACTATGATCTTTAAGTACATCTGTACAGCTTTACAGAAAACACCCATGATTTATCTCTTAGCAGATTTAATTCTAAAATATTTCATGCACTTCAGAGCCAAACTTGTTCAGATGGACTCTTCCTTCTTAATTTTTCCATTCTTCCCCAGTTCAGCTTTCCCCCACCTGCTACTTTTCATGCAGGGTGGGTTTGAATTTCCAGCAAGTGTAGCTATCATGTTGGCAGGAGACCCAGGATATGGGATTGGAAGACTAGCACATCTGGAGGGCACCACATTGGAGAAGGAAGCTTAGGCACTAGATTTATAGTCTTATATGGTCAGCTACAAGAGCCAGTTTGGTGTAGCAGTTAAAGGCGCCAGGTCAGAAACAGGGATACTGTAGTTCTAGTCCTGCCTTAGGCACAAAGCCAGCTGAGTGACCTGGACCAGTTTCTCTCTCAGCCCTAGGAAGAAAGCAATGGCAAACAACTTCCAAAAATGCTGTCAAGCAAACTGCAGTTGCCAGGAATCAAGTTTAACTTGAAGGCCCAAACACACACAATTGTCAGTTACTGATATTCCAACAATGTTATCTCCCAGAATGCCTTGATACAAAGCTCTATGTGAGCCACAGTGTGAAAGGGGAACTCTTCAGCTGTTCAAAATGAAAAGAGCTACCAGATAATCTTTTTGGAGAGGCTACTGGAGAACACGCTGGACATAGAGCCAACCTTGACAGATCATTTAACTATCAAGAAACACAGGTTCCTACTGCAAAGTTGGTACAATAATATTTTCCATGCCTGGATATAAGAACCTATAAGTGAAAGCAGTAGCTAGGATCCAACCATAAATACCTGAAAGTTGAATCAGAATGGCATTGAAGTGAAAGTTACCTGGAAGGAGTTGAGGAAAATTGTGAAGAAAACTTTGATGTAGCGCAAGATTCCTGTGGTTTGTTCATCTGTAGCAAAGATGAAGACCACTTCATGAATCCCAAACAGAGGGATGAGGGTGAGGGTGGCTTTGGCTAACCTGGAAGAAACCGTAGAGATGTCAGAATTAGTAGGGGAGAGTCAGGCTTAGGTACAACCTTCCATTAGGAAGCCAGAATCGGCCATGATCGTTGGCCTGGAGCTCTCAACTCACCGCAGCTTGTAATCTGCATAGTCCTTCTGACTAGCCCGTAACTTAGCCAAGATCACTTTGAGAATTTGCATGAAAATCAACAGATTAATCTGGGAAGAAATAGGAGGCATTTATTGGAGGATGACTGAGATTTCCAAGTAAACAAATATTTTCATTACAGAATAAGGTTAAAAAGATCAATCCCAAATTTAAGGGGAAATTCTGTTCTTCCTTTGTCAGCCATTTATGTTTTAAGTTAATATTTGTCTGTCTGTTGATCATATTTGTATAGCCGCCCATCTCACAAGAGAGTGACTTTCCATACTGGGCCAAACTGTCCTGTTCATCCTAGAAATTATTACTACTGGCTTGAAGAATTCCTCTTGGGATACAATCTCAGCTGTGCTTCATCCTGTGATAGGGAGTTGGGAGAGAGATTATCTAGTGCGAGGCACACGAATGCTGTAATAAACATTGGTATGGCCTTAGAATGGCTATTTCCTTATTCTGTGCTGCCCTGAAGCACCTATAACAAGGTGTTGCTGTAGATCATGATGGGAAGTTTAAAATGGCAGCCCTTCCTTGCTTCGCTTCTGAAATGGAATCCAAGATCTTGAAAGCAGATCATGTTTTGTGAGAAGGACTAGAACCTAAATGTTGTGGCTTTGCTCACAAGGACCATTTTCTTCATGAGTGCATTGACCTGTATCAGAATCCAGAGTAGGAATACATCTATTAAAAGAGAAGACACTCTGCAACACTTAGTTGAAAGCTTGTCCTAAACTAAGCATTATCCTTCTGTACTAAAGGGGCATAGCTCGCTTAAAAATATATTATCAAGCAGTTCAGTTGGCCGGTATTACCCTTCAGCCAAACAGCCAGTTGAGATAGAAAATACTTCGTTTCGGGTTAAGAATTTAAATTTGTCTTTTCTCTCCCCAACAGATCTTCATAAAATAAATGAACTCAGTAATGATTTCACGCTTGCAATGTGCCGAAATCTTGAGGAAGCAGTTTTCAGGACTTATTCCAGGCATTGAAGAAGTGCCTTAACTCCATTGATAAGTTATTCAAATTTCAATAAAGATAGAGCCGTGCAATTGAAATTATGGAAAAAGAAGGGTCTTTCTACAATAAAATATTTATACTTACCTACCTATCTACATGCTGCTATTTAGGACAAGTTGAACAATTAGAACAGGAGTACCATGGTTTTTGTGGTGTCAGATCAATTCAACGTTACAAAATAAAGTGATGGAGTTTGCAAATAGATATCTACCCCCTTTTTCAAAGAATAAAGTAGAATTTCAAAAAAAAAAGATTGTATTTGAAATAGATTATGGCAAATCTGCCACAGAGATAAAAGAGGCTCAGAATTTAGATTTAGGGTAATAACTTGATTATGTTTGGCAGTCTCACTGCAGCACGAAGGATTCTTCTCAGCATCTACATAGGAAATATATCTTAAATGTTTATTTTGGCAGCATCACACTCTGCTAAGAATCTCACATAAATCTTCCAAATGTTCAGTGAGTTGCTGTACATTGAAGGAAACATTCTTTCACCTCTGGTGGGAATGTGAGAAAATTTTAGGTTTGTGGAAGAAGATATTTAATGAAATGTCATATATAACTAAGTAGAAAATTGAATTCTTTCCAGTTAGGTTTCCTACACATATTTGATGCCAATAGAAGAGAAGATATGTACCTCAGGGTTGAAGTGTAGAGTCCTTGGGGTTCTCTGAGCTTGGTGGTTTTCTTGCAGACGTTTCATGAAACATTTGCAAAACAACCAAGCTCAGAGAACCCCAAGGGCTCTACATATTTGATGGTCAGAACACAAAATTGCAAAATAAAAATCTCACTAAGTTTCTATTTCTAATAGGCAAAGTAGTTGCTGTTGAACAATGGAAATATCTAGATTATCTAGATATCTAAAGTAACTTCAATAATAAATTATCTAATTTATTATCTAATAAATGCCATGATAAGGGCTGGTCTCTAGTGTTGCTTGAGAAAATCTCTGATAAAATCTATTGTATGACAAGGCAAAGTAGTGAGCCATTGTTTTACAAGGAATGTGTGTGTGTGGTGGGGGGTATCATTGTTTAAATAAGAAATAAGCATCTTGGCAACCGGTTGTATCAAAACTAGCAGGCAAGTTATAATGTACCAGCACTATATAATTATTTAAAATTAAAAAACTAAAACTATTATGGAAAAACACTCAACGTATGTGCTTGCAGTTTTCCGATTCTTGCTGTTGTGGAATGCGACAGCCTGTCAACCAAAAAGATTCTCCAGTCCTGCTTAAAGGATCTAGATAAGTACAAGCACAGATGTGCCTCCTAAGTCCTTTATCAACATTCCCTAATTCTCCAGCCAACATCCTGGGAGCTGCAGACTCAACATTTCTGGAGAGCATCAAGTTGGAGAAGAATGGACTTTGACCTCATGAGACTTCTCCAAAGGGAACACACATTTCTGCAGAGCTTTCAAGGCTGATTAAGGCTGTATACTGAGCTGGTGGAATCTGCTGTTTAGCCACACTTAGATGCAACCTGGGTTTCCAAAACCAATATGAGCCAATGAATCTAACCAGCCATAGCCTAGCTAGGATAGCAGGCCCTATGCACCTTCAATTGTTGCTCCAACAAGAGATGCTTGCTGTCCCAAAGCAAGACGTTTTTGACCTAAGGCATCCTTCATACTCCTGGAGGACTGAAGGCATTCTGAAAGATATGATCCCAGCAAGATTATGCTGTATCTTTGTTCCTTGTTGAATGTTTGAGGAGTTGCACAGAGCCACATGTTTCGCTTACAAAGAAGTGATGAATGATAGGAAATGCAATCACTCTGAGGAACATACAAAGGCTCCTTTATACCAAGTGAAGCTACTGGTTCATCTAGCTGAACCTTCACCTAGTCCTACATGGTTCATCTACTCTGAGGCTTCAGATTGGAATGTCTCCATCATTACCTGAATCTTGGACCTTTAGAATACATATCAGGGTCTCCATCACTGAACTATGGCCCATCCATAGCTGGGTTTTCATGGAGCTCTGATCCTGCCACCTTCAGAAGCACCTTGTCATCTCCCTCCCATTCCAACTGGGGAGGTGCTTACCACAGATGCTAGCAGAATAGGGATACGAATAATCCACCAGTAAGCCATGTTCTCATTAACCCCCCAGCACCTGCAGTATACAAAATAAGACAACCATTAGACATAAATAAGACCATATTCTGATCATCCATAACACAGATAAATGTTCTAATAGATTATTGATAGTTCTTATCAGCTATGAGGATTTAAGAGCATTGGGGTTACCTTATAGTTAGCACTCCAAAATTAGGTCAAAAGGGGCACTATAAGATAATCTTTTTCAAAGAAATTGATTGCCATGATTGGAATTTCTTGACTAGTTTGCCCAGTGACAGGCCTGAATGAATGCAAAAGCCCATTTGCTCACCACCAAGTCCTGTTGGATGCCAGCAGTACAAACCTCTCTCCCTTGCCCCAGTGGGCCTTAGTCAGCAACCTGGGTTTCACAATGCTTGTTCCTCATCCAGAGTCTGGTTTTTGTTGAGCAGAAAATGCATCCAACGTGCTGTGCTGGCTTGGAGTTCTGCAACGTGCAGAAATAAGGTCTGTTTGGCCCAATCTTGGCCCTGCGGTGCTTGCTTCTTCAAGTTGCTCCAGCAGTACATGGCGTCTCCAGTCCCCAGTGTGAGGTTATCCTTAGGATAACCCTAACCTTCCCTCCTCCATCTAGGATACAAATCTTATGAAACCCTTGGACACATTTTCAGGTCTCTTTCTAACAGTTCAGATCTGGGGTGAAAGTACATTTTCCTCCAGCAAGATTGTAGAAGAAGACAGCAAAGGTGTGAGATTGTCTACCTTCATTAGGTCTACCATCCACATGGCCCTCTGCCAAAGAATAGTTGCTTGCAAGAGGTTCCCACCCAGCATCTCCACACTCACTCTGCATTTTCCTTCAGGTATTTGGCAGCTATCCATGGTACCACAAAAGCCACGGGGGTCCCTATAAAAAAAAAAAAGGCCAAATGATCACGGGAATCAATAAGCCAGTTCCCTCCTGTTTTCTTGCTGTAGTTTTTCTTAGATACTGAAAAGATTGCAGCCGAGAAGTATGGCTGAGATTTCATAAGCCACAGAATGTTCCAATTTAAGAGGGAAAATTGCCCAGGGAATGCAAATTTTGTACTCAGAATCAGTTCTGCAGGTTTTAAAATGGCACCGTAAAGTGGTTTGCATTATTTTGACTCGAGGTTTCAAGGAAGGAAGGAGGAGGTTATATTTTGGGAAGAAATGGGGGGAGCTGGGTTGGGGCTCTGGATTCTACCTAGCCCATAACATTCAGGACTTGCTCTGCCCTTCACCTTCACCCCACGCAACCCAGCTGGTCCTTCAAGATGGACCTATGAGGATAGGAGCTTTGGGTGCCATTAGCCAAAAGGCTATGGGTCCAGTGCCCCTACTCAGGCAGGGATGGGATTTTCTTGCAGTAAATATACTTTGAAGTTCTTGTAAATAAATTTATTCTTAAATAAACCATAAATGGTTGGCAAGATGTGGTTAACAGGCAGAGCTGTAGTGGATAGCTGCTGAAATGGGTCTGTTTCTTGCCTATGTATGGAGATTTGGCTGCTCACCTCAGGTTAGGTGTAAAAAATTCTAAGTGTAGAAAGATTTGGCTGATATCTCTCATCTAGGGACAGCTAAGCTTTATTGATTTATTATAAAGATTTCTGTGTTGCTCCATTCCAGGTTGTCTCTGAGCAGCTTGTAACATGGGACCTTATCCACCAGCTGAGATGGAAAGTTACATATATAGCTGAGCTATTAGCTGCAAACAGCTCATTCCTGTACTTGAAGACAAAGGTGAATTTGGTAGGAAATGGGACAGCAAAGAGCTCTATTTGCTTTGCTCAGATGATCTCATCTCCATCTCTCTCCCCAAGGGCATCCTGAACATAATGAGGGCTTCCCCATCTTGCGGTCCTCCAAATAAGTTGTGCATGATGGGGAAGACTGGAATAATTTGAAGCTTGGCCCCAACATTAAAGGAACAAACCATCCTCTTCCCCTGTTTCATCTCACCCCAGCCAAGGTAGAGATACAGCGTGTAGTAATTCTTCTCTGAAAACACGGCTCCAATCAGAAGTTTGTACAGGTAGACAGCCTCCACCAGAAACCAATAGTGATTGGCTAGGATGCAGTACTGCATCATGACCTGAGCCACCCGGCAACCAATTGCAGCCTAAGAGAAGGAAAGCCGAGAAAAGAGTCATCGAAAGAATGGAATAGCTGCTTGCTCCTCCAAAACAAGGACATTTTAGGGACCACCTGATTAGTAGTTGGATAGGAAACCATTAGAATATCCTGGGCTATAGATTTCACTAGGAGGTAGAAAATCATTCTGGAGGAAGACAACAGCCAACTACTTCTGTTTTCTCAAAAATAATACAGATGTGTATGTTGTCAACAGGAGTCAAGCCTTACTTGAGGAAAACATTACCTTTTCAATTCAGTTCAAGGCATGCATTTCACACCTGAAGATTCTACAGACTAAGAAGGATTCACCTCAATCTCAAGCACAGAAAATATATGATGAAAGGAGTTGAGGTGACTAGTTCCCCCACCCATGAAGATAGGAATACCAGTCACATTCCCTGCTGAACATTCATATGGTGTAAAATAGCCAACACAGGATTTCCATCTGAGCAAAGTATGCCCGCTTGCATACAACCCCTTCATATAGTATGCATACGTTATCAAGGATGGAGCCATTTCAACTTGCCACATCTTTCCAATGCATGACAGAATTCAACTGAACCCTCTTCCTCTCCAGTATGTGAGAGGAACCAAAAAGGGGCAAACAGGATTGCAGGTTTGAATGCTCTCACCATGCTCAGGACAGAGTGCATGGTTTTCTCACATGTTAGTTTTCTGCTCACAGAAAATTTGTCAGGTGTATTTTGATGAGAAGCTGAGATTATCCTACAGACAGCTAGTAAACATCATGGACAAGTTTCCTAGATCTCCTAAGCCCTAGGAATTGTAGTTTGCATAACCTGAAGAGTGCCCAAGAAGGTTGTTCTAATCACTACATGAAGATGGACAGGTGCAGACAACAAGGGCAGATCTTGGTCTACCACAAGCAACAGTAGAGATGGTAGAGTGAAAAAGTATCCATCCTGGCTAGAGAGCAGGAGGCTTCCTTGTTTGTTTGTTTGCCCATCCGTCTCTCCATCTGTCCATCCATCCATCCATCCATCCATCCATCTTTGCCTTCCTGAAGATTTGACATCAGAAAACAGCCAGAGGGTTGCGTTGGCTACAGGATTGGCTCACTGTATCTCTGTAAGAACTTTTTAAAACTGGAAAAGGCATTAAAAATGGTCATTTCCACCTTAGACAGGTGGGCTGGCTCTCTTGTTAGACAAAGTAGAGCAACTGTCTCGGGCAGTAGAAGCTGGAGGCAGCAGCAATTATTCCAACTCTCCAGGCAATGTCATTTTAGGAGGTACAGCTACATGTGCCATACAAACACAGCAAGCTGCCTTAGACCAAAGTCCCCTAACTAGGTTCAACTAACCACAGTGGTTCTCCAGGATTTCAGAAAAGAATCTTTCTCACCTCTACCAGAAGATGCTGTGGAACTGAACTGAACCCTTTGGCATTCCCAGCAAGTACTCTGCTCCTGTCCTGAAGGGAAAAGGTTACCCCGTTTCAAGTCTTAAAATAAAAAAAAACTCCTGCCAGTCTAGATGACTTCTGTATGTATGATATGAACTGATCATTGGCTTTCACCCCTGTTAGCAAAATGTGTTGGATTAGCCCTAGTGCAGATCCAGTCCAAACCATTCTCACATCCATCTACTCCATACCTCACACTACACCGTAACATGACTGGTTTTGGCTTAGTTTGTTGGGTAAACCCAGCTTATGTGATTTGTAAACCAGGGCTCGTGTCTCAGCAAGTTCTGCAAGCCCAGCCAATTGTGGTTTATTCAACTAGTCATGGCAAATCATGCTTAATGTGTGAAATCAGGCCCATCCAAGGAGATGTTTGAAATAGACTACAAACATAAGTAGGCCAGGGACCGCCATCTCTCCGTAACTACCCCCAGGCAGACAGTACTTACCTCGTGACTCAATAAGGCTTCCCAATCAGACATCTGGAAGATCTCCCTTCCCCACATCTTCTCCAGCAATGCATCCTTCACGATCACCGAGATAGCCCGTAGTCCAAAGGAGGCAAAAAGATTAGCGTGAATATAATTCCGAGTGCAGCGAAGTCTCCTGAAGGACCAAAGGAACATAATTATTAATAGGCAAAGCTGTCATAATAAATCAGCCAATACAAAATCTTTTGACTGTGAGAACCTTTATTATATGGTGGAACCAACTGGAGGAAGAGTTTCCTCTTACTGGAGACTTTCAAAGAGAATTGAGCAGCCATGTGTTTGGGATGGTCTAGGAGAACTTTATGGTTCTGTGAAAGAGCCCCAACAAGAACACAAAGGATCATCTCTGGAAAGATCCAACATGAGGATGATTCTAGCAGCATCTAAATCATGAGAAGTAACTGTTCCATTTTATTTGGTATTAGCCTCCACCTTGACCACAGTATGCAATCCTGGCGCCATATTTTAAGAAGGATTCAGAGACACTGGAGCAGGTTCAGAGAATGGCAACAGGGATGATTAGAAGGTTAGAAAGTAAATGCTACAAAGAAAGATGGAAAGAGATGGGTATGTTTAGCTTGAGAAAAATGGCTGAATGAAGATATGCTAGATCTTTTTAAGTATTGGAAAAGACATCACAAAGAAGGTCAAGATTTGTTCTTCATTATTTCAGAGTGCAGGAGACTGAATAATGGATTTAAGATACAGAAAGGCACACTCCAGTTTAATTTTAGGATAAATTTCCTGATAGTAAGGGCAATTTGACAATGGAATTGGTTATCCAGAAGTGGGGTTGGACTCAGTGGCTTAACCATTCCCTTCCAAATGAATGATGATATCACTTTCATCATCTTCCTCCTGCTGTATTTTCTCCGAGAGCTCCAAGTGGCTTATGTGAGGATCTTTTAATTTTATCCTACAATAATCTGTGTGGGCTGAAAGAAATGACCCAAAGTCACTCAATAAGTGCCCTATTGAGGGTGAGAGTTGACCCTGGTTCTCCTCAGTCCACGTCCTACACCTTAATCACTATACCGTTATGGCTCTCGGCTTCTCCAGATTTGGAGCCTGCAAGCCCCACCATTCCTCAGCTATCACCTTTACCTGAAGACAGTCAGGATGAGTAGAGCCAAGATCAGTGCCAGCAGTGACAGGGAGTAGCCCACGGTGTAGAGGACTTTGAAACTGACCATGAGGCGGTAAGCTGCTTCCTACACAAGAAAGAAAGATGTCTGTCAAGCAGGCAAAAAGGGGCCTCAGCCACAGGCAGGGCTTGGGGCGGAGGAGAGGATAGAACCGGATGCCTAAGAGCCTAGGGTGTGGAAGAGTAAAAGGATAATTTTTGGATAGATCAAATCAACTTATTGTTTTCACCATGAAGTATAACAAACCAGACCACTCACTGTAGGGAAAACATTCATGTTGTATACAAGTCTTTACCAATTTAAAGTTGAAACTCAACCTAAAATCAAGCCCCATCCATTTTTCATCAGTTATACATTATGCTACCTATCTAGACCAGACTGATTCCTCCCTCCCTCCCTCCCTTCTTTACTTACAGCTAGATTACTTCCTTCCTTCCTTCCTTCCTTCCTTCCTTCCTTCCTTCCTTCCTTCCTTCCTTCC